GAAGAACTGGCACCCAAATTTCTGACAAAAAGACAAAGAAATGCCCTGCCTTTCTGAGCTGAGTGACCTGAGCTGGCCAAGCAGCACTTGAGGCGGCTGGCACCGTGCTCCCTTCCCCCTTCTCACCAGGGCTGCACTTGCTGCTAATTTTGATTTCGTGGACTCAGACCAAGACGTGGTCAGCTTACATGCTGCTCCTCTTCAGTCCCTGAAGTAAGTTACTTTCTCATGAATCAGTACTATAGAAATATAACTGTTGAGATCAGCTGCTTTATTTTCGTCAGCTTTTCTCCAGACCTTTCAATCATAAGCTGCATTATCCTATATTCCCATAAAGCCAGGAAAAGCAGTAATAGACACCTCAACATTCTGACTTCTATTTTTCCTGCCAAGTGATTTCTCTAAGTGCTTTGTTTTCTGCTGTCACTGAATTAGAATAGTACCTGTACTTGCAGAGTCTTCACTGTTACTGTCACTATTTCAACACACTCTTCTCAGATTAGAAGCTTTCAGCTTCAAAAATGCTCCTATTTTGCTTTCTGCAGAAGAAAATACACTCTGCATTTTCTCACTGCTTATGGCTGAGGTTATCAGACTTTTGGACAAAGCTATCCCAGTTCCTTGTGGTGACAGCACGGTGACAGGAAAAGATCCCTGTGCATCTGCTTTGACGGGGAAGCCAACAGTACATAATCCCCTCAGTAAAAAGGAACACAAATGCAGATTAATCCATTCCTCAGATTCGGTTTGGGACTCTCTGCTCCAGACCTTGACTTTGCTGAGAGGAGCCACACATATTGCACAGCAGCCTGTGGAAGAGCCAGGCTGTAACAGCAGCCAGCACGAGCTCTCTAAGGCCCAGGTCCAAGGCACAGGGCTGTCAGCACCCTCAGCTCCCTCTCCAGTGCCCGGTGCTCTCCTCCTGCCCCACAGCCCTCCCCAAACAGAAGATAAAAAATATGGAATTCAAAACAGCCCCAAGGCTGTTGGTACAGCCCCAAGGACCGATGGGGACCCTCGATGCACTGTGCCCAAAGTGCAAGGCAAACACTTCTGGGGGGGTTCCCTGTCCTGGCACAGCTGAGGTCTGGGTGCAGCAGCACCGTGGCAGGACAGGAACCTGCCTGGTGGGAACTGCTCTGCTGTGCTGGGAATGCAGGGGAGCTGCTCCCAAAATCAGTGAGAAAACCATGGCTCTGCTGAGAATGCACCCAGATCTTCCTCTGAGCACTGAGCTGCTCCTAAAATCAGCGAGTGAACCATGGCTGGGCTGGGAATGCACCCAGAGCATCCCCGGAGCACTGAGCTGCTCCCAAAATCAGTGAGAAAACCATGGCTCTGCTGAGAATGCACCCAGATCTTCCTCTGAGCACTGAGCTGCTCCTAAAATCAGCGAGTGAACCATGGCTGGGCTGGGAATGCACCCAGAGCATCCCCGGAGCACTGAGCTGCTCCCAAAATCAGTGAGAAAACCATGGCTCTGCTGAGAATGCACCCAGATCTTCCTCTGAGCACTGAGCTGCTCCTAAAATCAGCGAGTGAACCATGGCTGGGCTGGGAATGCACCCAGAGCATCCCCAGAGCACTGAGCTGCTCCCAAAACCAGTGAGTGCCCACTGCTGTGCTGGGAGTGCACCCAGAGCATCCCCTGAGCACTGAGCTGCTCCCAAAACCAGTGAGTGCCCACTGCTGTACTGGGAATGCACCCAGAGCACCCCCTGAGCACTGAGCTGCTCCCAAAAGCAGTGCCCACTGCGGGACGCTGAGCTGTCCTTCTCCAGACCCCCACTTTCCTGCCCCCCGGACACAGGGCACCGTTGGGAGAGGCACGGACACCTGGCCCAGGATGAGCCCGGCCCGGAGGGGACAGGCTGCTCCCTGGAACCAGCTGCTGGCTGCCCCAAGCAGCCTCACCCCCGAGCAGCAGCAGCACTGCCCAGCCTTGGGAAGCAGCTGGGCTCACTGCAGCCTGCACCTGTCCAACTCTCACACACCTGAAATAAAGAGGGGGTGGGGAAATCAGTGCCATAATCTGCCATGACCTTACAGGTACACACTCACCGCTAATGCAGCATCTTGCAGAAAGTAAAGGTGCACATCCCTGACTTCATTCTGTTAATCCATGAGCTTTATTTAAGATTAGGAGAGATAATTCTAAATGCCCACAGCCACTTTTAAAAGCAAGCAGATATTGAGCAAAACACAGCCAACACTGGGTTTCCAGGCAGGACTTACAAGTGGGACCAACACACTCTTAAGCAAGCAGTTACCTTCCTCTTTGGCTTCAGGAAAGACATAAAAACCCCCACTATTTTAATTAAAAATAGATTTTTATACTTCTGTAACACCTGCAGAACTCCACTGACACCACCACAGACTTTACAAAACCACAATTTAACTGCAAACAACCACTGCAAGGCAGTTAAGTATTTGCTCTGGATTGTGCTTATTCCCAGCAAAATCCATGGCCTCTCAAGGTTCTGTATAAATCAGTTTTTTCTAAAAAGAGCCACCCCAAATCTGGTGGAAGAAAGTGTCTTTTAACAATGTACACAGCGCAGCTCCTATATTTGGGCTGAACATGGCCCTCCCCAAATTCTGTAGAGCTACAGCGAGGTCGCACCTCACGCATGGCCCTGCAATGCCTACGAAAGCTTCAGGAGTAAGAAAAGCTGGCACTGCTCTCACTGAGCAGCATTCCACATTTAGGAGGCACACATGACCCCGGGACACCTGCATTTACAGCAGGTATTCAAACTGCATCACCTCGCCTTCCAGAGTGGGGTACACGAACATCACCACCACAGGCTACTCCAGCACAAAACATGATTATGTGGTTCTTTGAAAGAGAGGTTAGCTAACTCAAAAGCACAGAGCCTTCTCTCAGGACTCCAGTGCCACTCTACACCTGCAGAAAAACACAGGAAATTATATCCCACCATTTCCAGGCAAATTACTGTTTTGTAGTAAAAAAACCCCATCCAAACCAAAAAATCATATCAAAAAAATCCCACCCCCCACTGCCTGGGTTTACTACGGCTGGAGCCAAATGAAACACTCCCATTAAGAGCATTAACACTTGCAATCACCAAGAGAATTCAGGTGATTCAGAACAGGAAAAAACATTTCCTACTCTAGTGTACAGCTCAAGAGGCTGAAGAGGACCACGCAGCCTGTACACGAGCTAGTAAATATTAACTCCTTGTCAGCATCCCCAGCCTCCCTAAGAGCTGCTTCACAGGTGCTCAGCATGACTCACAAACCACCTCACACTCGGCTCCTCCTGCCGTACCACAAGTGCCTCTTCACTCGCGGTAACACAAAGTTTTTCTGTGAGCCCAGGGAGCGTAGCAGCACCAACTGCTTTTCCTGGGAGCCTCAGAATATTCACCTTCTGCTACCCTGTCAGCACTGACATCACAGCCTCGCAGTCTCAGGCACCACTGACTCATTAGCAGACACACAAATGCCTTTGTCCCACTGGTCTGAAATGTGCCAAAGCGATTTCTGACACCGAGTGTGTCATTAAAACTTGTAATCGTAGCACAAAATGGAATATGTAAGCTTGATTTTAAAAATAAGCGTTCCGGCAAGCATAGCACAAGTATGGCAATTTCTTTTTGTTTATACCACAGTTCTAAACCATGCAAAATAATTCCTCAGAAAGGCGGGAATCTTTTGTTCTGCACTGCTTAATAAATTATTTAAAGCACAATATAGCGAATAAGGCCACCATGAAAGAAAATCAAAACCAACTCAACTTTAAAGGATATAATGTAAAAGCAAAACATATTTATCTAAAAAAGTAAGGTTTTGCAATGCATCTAAGTAGTGAAGTTGATTGTGTTGCTGAGGAAAAAAAAATATCATGCAAACGCTAAGGATTTGGACAGGAGACAGAACATAGTAAGAAGGGGAAAGACAGAGCTGGGAAAAAATTCACATAAAGAGAATATTTTAAAAAGCTTTTCAAGCTGCTAAACTTAAATTTTCTAAATCATGAAACCACAAAGCTTTTTATCAGGAATAGAGAGGCTGTGTTGTTTTGATTCGGCCTCTGGCTGTAAGAGAGTAAACGGCAGGGAAGTGTCCCACTCCGTTTTAGAGAACTAGGGAATAAGGAGCAGGTTTTGGGCAGGTTTTGGTCCTCCGGGGAGGCCCGGCCCAAAATCCCCCCGGGTGTCCCCAGCCGGGAGTCCGAGACCACACTGGGGTGCGCGGGGAGCCGCGGGGTCACCGCCCGAGGGACACCGAGCCCCGCAGCCGGGCATGGGCATGGGGACAGCGCGGGCCACGACCCCCAGGGACCCCGGCAGGGAACCCGGCAGGGAACCCCTGTACCCCGGCAAGGAACCCGGCAGGGACCCCCTGTACCCCGGCAGGGAACCCAGCAGGGAACCCCTGTACCCCGGCAGGGAACCCCGGCAGGGAACCCCTGTACCCCGGCAGGGAACCCCGGCAGGGAACCCCGGCAGGGAACCCGGCAGGGAACCCCGGCAGGGAACCCCTGTACCCCGGCAGGGAACCCCGGCAGGGACCCCGCACCCCGGCCATGGCCCCGGCGCGGGCAGCTCGTCCCCTCACGCCCCAGCGCCGCGGGGCCCGGGGCGAACCGGGCCGGGGCAACTCCCGTGCCGGGTCCCCCCGTGCCCGGCCCCGGCGGTGCCCCGGCCCCGCGTCTCCATGGCGATGTCTCCCCTCCCCGCCCCGCTGGCCGCCGCAGCGCCGAGCACCCCCGGCCCCGGCCGGGAGCCGCCCCCTCCCCTCCCGGCGGGGAACGGGGGGGCCCCGCTGCCGCCGGTGCCGCATTGAGCGGGCCCCGCAGCCGTGCCGGGGTGCCGAGCAGCGCCGGGCACGGCGGGCGCCGCTCCCTCCCGTGCCGGGGTCCCCCCGCCGGGGCCGCCCCCGGAGCCGTGCCCCCCTCCCGGCCCGCTGAGCCGGGCTGTCCGCGGTCGGGCCGGGGAACGAGCCGCTTATCGGGGCGGCTGCGCCTGCCTTACCCTTGGAAGCATCTTTCTCTTCTTTGGGCTTGATCACCTTCCCGCTCATAGACCCCAGCTTGGGTGGGAAAATCCCCGGGAGCGTCGCGAATTCCGGCTGGACCAAAGAAACCTCGGGCGGGGGGCAGCGTGCGTGCGTGTGGGGGATCCTCTACGCCGAAAAGGCTGAAATAACACCAGGAGCAGGGGAAGGGGGGGAAATGAGGAGCCGGCGAGCTGCCCGCTCCCCGGAGCGGAGCCTCGGAGCCGCCGCGGTGCCTGCGGGAGCGGAGCGGGGAGCGGGGGGCTCCGGCAGCCGCAGCACCGAGCCCCTGCGCCGCTCGCCGTGCCGGAGACAAAAGCGATATTCCCTGTGTCTGCCTGGCCCCGGCCCCCTCCTTCCCCCGCCTCCCCGGCTCTGCCTCCCCTCCCCAGGGCCAGGGAAGCGCAGCTGGTCCTGCAAGTCCCACCGACCGGGGGGAGGGGGGTACCGTGACTCGGGGGGGGGGTTGTTTGCTTGGGTGTGTTGGGTTTGGGTTTTTCTCTTTTCGCATCCTCCCCTAATAATAATGGGATGGAGCAGCTGAGCTGCAGCCGCGGATAGGAGGAGGAGGAGGAGGACGCGAGTCCCCGTCACTGCAGAAGAGGCGGCAGGTTTACGCTCGCGGCAGCGAGGAGGGCTGGAGGGGGCAGCTCCCGCCGCCCCGGCTGCGCGCATCCCCCTCCGCACGCCCGCACCGGGGCTCCATTAAACGGTGCGGGGGAGGGCGGGGGCAGCACGCCTCCCGCTGCCCCCCAGCCCCCCACGCTGCCCCACGGCCCGACCCAGAGCAGCCGGGCCGGCCCCGCTCGGGAGCCGCTGCCAGCCCCGGTACCGCAGCGGCGGCTCCGGGCGCCGCCCGCTCCCCAGCCTGTTGCTGCCGTCGCGGGAGCGCAGAGCGCCGGCCGGGGGCACGGGGGGCAAAGCGGGATCGGGTTCCCGTTAACGGCGGGCACGGAGGGCAAAGGGCGATCGGGTTCCCCAGCAGGGAACGCGCGCAGCCCCGCTGCTCTGCCCCGGGGCGTGGGACGGCGCTCACCCTCCCTCCCCCTGCTCCATCCCCTCGGGGAGCAGCGGGGGACCCCACGGGCAGCCAGCGCCCCTCACCTGTGCCACAGAGCGGCGTGTCCCGCCCCCCTGTCCCCGCTCTCCTCGGTGGGGCAAAACTTCCTCTGCCGGGGCCGCCGTCGGGGGAGGGACGAAGGCGATGCAGCCCCTTGGAGCCCGGCCCCGCTCGGCAGCGCCCAAAATAACCTCCGGGAAGGGCGAGCCGTGCCGGGCCCGGGCAGCCCCTCGGGCCGGAGCCGGGCTGCTCCTGCCCGCTCTGCCAGGCCGAAGGGACACGAGGCGGACACGAGGGATTTCCGCAGCACCGGGACGGAGCGAGGCAGGGCTGGCACCCGGCAAGCGCTGTGCCCTGAGCGGCCCCCGTGCCCCGCTGCCCGCCGGGGGTCCCGGCACAGCAGCAGCCCCGGGGCCGCTATTTTTAGTGGGGAGGAATTCCTGCCCGGCAGCCCGGGACAGCTGGGGACAGCTCGGCTTTCCGCGGGCACCGCGCTGCCAGGCAGGACAGCTCTGAGTCAGCGGGTGACGAAACACGGCCTGGATGAGGTCTCGTTCCCACCGCACACAAGGGGCTGCAGATCGAGTGCAGCTAGGGATGTTCGGGCTGTTCAAGCCGGGATCCAGGAGCCAGCATGGCAGCTGCGATCCCGGCTCCGGGTGGTGGGGTGGGCTCAGCTTTGCGCTGCAGGGACACGGGTTGCTGGGGCTGAGGTGAGTCCCCACCACCGGAGGCGTTCCACACCGCAGAGCCGTGGCACCTCGGGACGTGGCTTCGCGGTGAGCATGGCAGTGCGGCTTGACAGATTTGATGATCTCAGAGGCCTTTCCCAGGCAGGATGGTTCTAGGATTCAGTAAGCCCTCTGATGATAGTGGAGTTGGAGTGCTCTCCATGTAAGTCTATTTCACACGAGCCTCTTCAGTTGTTTGTTTTTTTTAACACATCTGAGACTCTCCAGGGGTTAAAAACCTGGTCTTTTTCTTGCCTGTTTCTGTCCAAACAGGGACCGCTGAATCCAGAGGGCTGGAAATGGAACGGGGAAGGAGAGAATCCCTGGTTCAGCTGAGGCAGCACTGCCAGAAGTAGCTGATGAGCCCCAGCAAGGAGATCTCAGCTGTCCAATACAACTTAGACCTGATTTTCAAAGGCACTTGCAGTGTCTTTGCTGAGAGCCAGTGACAATTCACGCTTCTGGTCTGAGATCTTTCCAACACCAAATGTCACTGACAGATGCTGTGTTAGTGCTGACAGTGAACCTGCCTTACCCGAGCCATTCTCATCTTTGCCAGGAGACCTGTTCACTTTTGCAGGAGTAGTTATTACATTGACCAAACGAGGCCCATACACTCAAATTTACTACACTGGAAGGAGGCAGCAGCTCAGCAGGCTGTGGAAGAATTGTACCAACTGGTGGGCAGGGGGAGCTTACCCTGCTGTTTTAAAATGACTTAGCTTCTCCCCTTACTAGTTTTCAGGGCTTAGAAGTGTCAGTTAAAACAGTAATAAAATACCGAGTTATGCATGCAAAATCTAAGGGGATTTGCATGAAGGCTTATGGCAATCCAGGTGCAGTTTGCACAGCCTTTAATTTGAAAGCTGCCTTGATGGCTGGAGTATCCTAGTGGAGATGGTATCTGTGGCCTGATGTCTTCAGATTCCCTCATCACTTCCTCGCTTTGAAGTGAGCATCTCTGGATTTTAGGGAAATCACTTCAGGTCTGGCTTTGCAACAGAATTTCTTTAACTAACTCAAGTATTTAAACGGGAATCTGAACCTCAGTGTCTTGGTACATCACTGCCCAACTATAGTAGGGGAAAATGTCACCTCATTGCTTTGCAGCTGCTGCCTGGAAGCTGAGAAGCACTCGGATGCTGTGGTGACACAAGTGATACACAACAAGCTGCACAGCACAGCCAGGCTCAGGCAGAAACTTACCTCTACATGGCCCTGACATGGATCCTGTGCCTCTCACTGACAGCATTCTCTGAGGTTCTGAATTTACAGAAATTTCTGCACCTCCAGATAAATCAGGTACCCAGAGGAAAGAGATTTAGTGAAGTTTAATACAAAGAAATCTGACGTGTCTGTGTAAATGCTGTTTAGGTGATCCCTGTGTGCCTTGGGAGGGTTTAAATTCAAGACAGTCTTTGTTGGGGGAGCACGATTTAAAGCCAGATATCAGTAAATTGTGGTACTTGCACACCTTTTGTGCGCCTCCAAGATTGCAACTGAGTCATTTAAACTGAGTGGCAACAAGCCAGGCAGCACAAATGGCTGGAGCATCATCTGTCCCCTTGTATGGCTGGTGAATCTCCTTCCCAGAGGGACAAACAGGACAGCCCAGGCACAGCAAGGGCTCACGAGCTCCAGTGTGAAGTGAAACACGAGGCTTTTCCAGCACAGACACACACAGCAGATGATATTTGGGCTCTCCCAGCTCGGGGTGGCTCTCGGGGGCAGGCAGAGCAGAGCTGACGTGCTGCACGGAGCTGTGCCCCTGCTGAGGGTGTTTATTCCCCCAGAAACATCTCCCAGAAGGTTCTGACTTGGCACAGGCTTGGCTAAGTCAAGTATCACTTAACAATCTGAAACTGTAAGTGCTTTTATACAGCAAAGCTCGGCTGTTAATGTGCAGTAGCTGTATGGTCTGTCCATAAAACACACACTCAAGTCATGACCATGCTTTTCCTGCCCTCATAAAATACCTACAGAGACATATATCCTCTGAGGAATTTTGGAACTCACACAGATACAGTAGTGACATTGCTCCTCAATGTACTTTTTCCTTGGTTCTTTGGCTGATTCTCAAGTTGAAATTTTCTCTTTTCAGTAGGCAGGGGTTTGTAAAAGGTCCAGATTCTACTCTTATATAGAGATTTAAAGGCACAATGTAAGATTCTTATAGGAATCTTACATAGTGCCTTTAAAGCTTTGTCATGATGGCTCCTGGTACGTTCCCAGTTAAATCTGAAGTAAAACTCTCCCTACATTCAGGCAGAGCAGGATTAGGCCTCACATTAAAGATTCCAGACATGATAAAGTCTCACTAATACAAGTACTTAATCCTCATTTCAAGTTATATTTCAATATTCATACTGGCATCTAGAGGTATCTATTCAATGTGGATAAAATAAGTCAGGCATGTGTCTGCTTTAGCTGCCACTGTTTTGCAGTGGTGCCAATAAAATCAGCCCAGAGAAATCCATTGCACATTTCCTTATTTCCTGGCCTACCACTGCTGCAACTGGAATGCCAGGGCAAATTCCTGTGCTGCCAGTTGTGTGTCACAATAAAACCCAGGAAGATTTGCAGGTGAGGTGAATGCTAAACACAGGGCCAAAGCACAGCCTGTCCCCGAGCAGGCACCTCCCTGTTCCAATGGATGTTTCATTTGCCCCCAAATTATTTTTACCACTCCTATTCCTACGCAGTCTGAAGCACTACACAAAGATCTTTTTTGGGCAGACAGCTTGCTGTGCACAATCTTCTTCCTTTGATTGCCAAAACCCAACTGCTGCACGCAAATAGAGTTCCAGCTAATGGATGGGACGGAGATTGCAGTTTAATTTCTCTAAGTAATTCAGTCTGATCAAAGAGACGCCCCTGGAAGATCCAAGTGGGCAGGGATAATGATCACACATCCCTGGAATGCCAGGTCCCACCAAAGCTGCTCCATCACTGCCCTCCTCAGCAGGACAGGGGACAGAAAATATGACAGAAGTCTCGTGGGTGGGGATAAGGACAGGGAGAGATCACTACCAATGACTGCCACAGGCAAAACAATTAATTCAATCAATGTCTTACAGACCAAACGAGAAGTAAAAACTAAATCTTGAAAACCTACCAAAGAAGCTTCCTGTCTTAAAATCCCACCCAGATTACCTCTAATAGGTGCCTGCTTGCCAGCCTGCCTCTGAGGTTCAGCCCTCACCCTGGACCAGAAGATGAAGCTCACCTCCAGTACACTGAGCACTTCTGCACCATTTCTGCTGTTTCCCTGGCTCATGGCTCTGCTCATGCCGTGTGTCCCAGGCTTCCCCATCATTCCCAGCTGAGCTGAACTTGCAGCTCCCTCATAAACCTCTCACATGTCTTAATCAGAAGGCAGCTGGTATTTCTTACGTGCCAACCAAGTTTAGATCTCGATGACGTGCGCGGTGCCATGCGTGAGCAGGAGCAAAGACACGAGAAATAATTTTCCTTTTTGTTTTTATAGAGTGGTATGAGTCCTCCTGACCCACCAAATTCCCACAGCCCAGAGGGCTGGCTGTGGCAGTGTCTAGAAGCTAGCTTGATCTTGGAGAAAAGCAGAGCTTTAGCTCTGAAAATCAAGGGTCTCATGACTGGAGATTTTTTTTTTTTTTAACAAAGCAGACTTCAGGTAAGCTGTGGGATTTGGATTTTTTAAGGCAGAGCTTGCAGCTACAGCCTTTCTCCCATAGTCCAGAATCAAGTGCAGGTCCTTGCCTTGCCAGCCCAGGGGGATTCTGCCTGCTCATCCTTTGTAGAGAACCACAAACACTTCAGGAGATGTACCCTGTTCAAAGGACTGCACTTGGAGGTCAGAGTTTAGAAAGGGAAAGGATTTTAAACTGGTTTGGGTGTATTTAAAAATCTGTTTCCAAAGCTCCATAAGAACTGTGCTGATATAATTGAATTTTTTTGATGTTTTCCTCTTTCCTCATAGCCAAGCAGTGTGTTCAGATCAGAGATGCTGTGTGCAGTAACCTGTGTGCACCAACACTCGACATTTGTGTGAGGCAGAAGAGCGCCTGGGCTCAGTGCTGGGGACACCTTGTCATGCCAGCCTTCACTGGCCTTTCCTGAAACACTGCCAGACACCACCCTGTGCAGCTCTGGCTCCCTGTTCCCCATTCCTCTCGTCCAGAACTATCCCTAGGTGTACATCCTGTTGAATTTCTGGTGACACTGTGGTAGCTGCAGATGCATCATTCCCAGCCCCGGGATCTGCCTTTCTGTGCCTCCAGCCTGAGCGGTCCCTTGGCTGTCCCTGCTTTGCATCCCGTTTTCTTGCTCCTGTAGGAATATGCCAGCAGGGATGGGGCTGAAATCCTGCTGGGTCAGGAGCAGAGACCAGTGCTGCCCTGTTTGTAAACACTTCCAGGCTAAAATTAGCAGGAGTCAGGAGAATCATTTATGAACATCAGGCTCCCCCAGCCGTCCTGAGGAACGTCTCAGGCGTGTGCCCACGTGTGCCAGGTTTCAGTGGTGCCAGCTGCCACCTCCTCGTGCCCAGCCCCTGCCTGGCTCCACAGCCCTGGCCTGGCAGCAGCTCCACCAATGCTGAGCACATTTTCAGCTCCAGGGACCCTCCAGGGCCTGCCCAACACCTGGCAGAGAAGCCTTGCTCAGCTGGAATACTGTCCGGCAGAAGGCGAGGGGTGTGGGGTCTGGCTAAACGTCACCA